GCCAGGGCAACAATGTTATAACAATGCAGCAGAGAAAGTGTTAAATCGCATTAATTGCCGTAGTTCCAAGTTCTAATTTTCGAAGTTGAGTTTGAGCCAGCCATTCTCTAATAAAAATCATCCTACGGCTTCTGGATCACCTGTTCTTTAATTTACTGCTGTATCAAGCGGCAAATGTTTGAAAAGAAAAGGTTGGAGTTTCTTTTTCTCTTATTTGTTGCTCTGGGACATAAATATGAAATGCTTTTTTAACAATTTTTTTAAATGAAGTAGAGGGACTTCTTACAGTTAAATTGCATCTAAAGAAACCAAGAAGCGAAATATATTTAATTCTAATGAATTTATTGTTTTAAAAATCATAAGTTACTATGAACGTCATAAACAACTGCTTATTCTAGAATGTCTTTCTTGCAGCATTCCTTTGATCGACTTGCTCAAGGCTCTTACCGATTTCGAAACCGTTAGATCTCGACGTTGAAATCCATTTTGTTTACCGATTTAGATATACGGCAATAAATATTCATAAGTCTTCCAAAATGCTACACTCAATGACCTTCATTATGTCATCGAGTACGAAGTAAAGCCACCAGAAATATTGTTACCCTCGGGAAAAAATCTTAATGAACATCTCCACATACTTCCTTTTTTATTTTTATTTATTTATTTTTTTTGTTTGTTTGTTAATCTTATACTAAACAAGTTGTTAAATGCTTTGATTCTAAAGAGGGTGACGATTTTGCGATAAAGATAATGCTCGTAAGTTTCCTGTTTGCCAAAGGTAAAATAAATTGTACAAAGATAACGTAACTGTGGGAATATCACTGATTTTACAAGGACAGGGTAAATAAATTTACTTTTTATCTAAATTTCAATATTGCTTAATGTCGCTACATTGTATTTGAAGATATATATATATATATATATATATATATATATATATATATATATATATATATTTTACTTTCATACTGAAAGTGTCGAGTCAATATAAAACATTAATCTACATTATCTCCAATTCTTAATATAAATTATGGGTTATTTAGATTTCTTATTGTAACAATATAAGATATGCAGATGACACAGTGATGATAGCAGACGTAGAAAGGAAACTACAAAAACTCCTACAGAAGTTAGTGAAGGAAAGCGAGAAGAAAGGACTAAACCTCAATTGCAAGAAGATAGGATGTATGGTTGTTAGTAAAAGGAACAGCCCAAATGCAAATTGCAAATTGGAGATACTAAAATAAAACAATTACAAAAATTTTAATATCTGGGAAGTGTTTTATCAGTGAAAGAAAAGGGTGACACTGAAATCTGAAGACACATTGGAATGGCCAAAGACACAGTGGAATGGACAAAGCATCCAAAAGCTAAGCAAAGTATTACGAAAAAGAAAAACTTCGTTAGAAACAACGTAAAGGGTACTAAAATGTTACGTGATATCTAACCTCCTATATGGCAGTGAGGGCTGGACAATCTCCTCAAAGAGGAAGAAGGGACTTGAAGCAGCAGAAATGTGGTTATACAGAAGGGTGCTGAGGATATCATGGACCGAACATATGATCAATGACGAAATTTTAGAAAAATGGAAACAGAAAGAAAAATTATACTTAACATCAGGAAGAGACAGTTGAGCTTTTTTAGGGCACATTATTGAGGAAGGGGGGCTTGGAAAATCTGATGCTCACAAGATAGATTGAAGGCAAGAAAGACAGCGCATCAGATACTTAGTGAATTTAAGTAAATGGATCGCGGAACAGGATTTTGGAGAAATAGCAGCAAAACAACACTTATGAAGAGCTACAAGGAACAGGAAGTTTTGGAGATCCATAATCGCCTACGTCCTGAGGGGACACAGCACCTAAAGAAGAAGAAGATTCTTTTAACTCCTTTGTGACAATATCGTGTTTCGTTAGTGATTTAAACTATGTTACACATTAGCTGGTTTGGTTCAAAGATTTACTTTGCTTCAGTCGTACGTCCAGTATATGGCGATGCTATTGGCTGGAAACGATGATAGTGTATTATATAAAAGGATATGCAGCTATAGGCATGGAAAACGGAACCAGGGAGCCAATTTCGAATCTCTGCAAAGCCTACTGAGATCACAATCGCACAGATACCCTTTGGAAAGGCATAAATCCATATCTTCTCCCCTCTCCAACTACGGGTTAAATAACAAGGTAGACTCTCTAGCTTTGGTTGGCAACTACTCGAACTCTGAATTCAAAAACGTGGAGAAGGTAACAAGAAATACCTTCACTATCTTTCCCAAGAAACCATGGCAATTCACAGAAAATGAAGACAAAGGAATCGACGAAGAGCTATAATCGCCTACGTTCTAAATTGTCATGGTATAATAAAATTAAGCTTCTAAATTTAAAAATCTAGAGGGACGCATTATACACAAATAATTATTGTATTAAATATAAATTTTGGAAACTGACCGTGGGGCAGTAGTTAGTTATTATGCTAGACTCGTAGACTATTAAATAGTTTACAGCTCGCTCATCATTGGTTGATCCACCATTATACACTTATGTTTGCATATCGCACGGTTCACACTCCTTTCTCGTCTTTTGAAGAAGAAGAATAGAGGTTTATCCCTTGTTTAGGATTGGGCTTCCGGTTTCTTCTAAAGTCTTCTTATTCTCCTGGGTCTTCCTTTGGGTCTTAGTAGCATTATCGCCTTGCTTGGACTGAAATGATTAAAAATAATGCCAGTACAACGTAAGTTTAGTAAATATCTATGTCTAGAATTTCATTTACTTAAGAATAATGTATATTTTTGTTTGTAAATATCTTTTTTATTTATTTAGAGTCAAAATGTAGTACCCAGTTTCACAAATTTAATAACACGGAATATAGACTGTTACAATGATTGTTTTGCATCTTTAATAAGTGTTGGGTTAACTTTTCTTCCTCTTCCGCAGTTAATATGCACTGCGCTTGGTCGGTCATGTGACCATTACAGCCAGTCAATGAAGCCCAGTTTGTACAAAGATGGAATTAGACGGTGCGAGGAGGATATACATCCTGGACTGAGGGCACCTCGACGTGGTGTAATGGTTAGGAAGCTTGTCTCGCTCGATCAGTTATAACTGAAAAGTGAGTTCGATCCTCACTAGATGCCCCATACTTTCGGCCTTGTGCCACATCTAAGCTACGCTTGGAAAATAACTATACTTCCTGGACTGGTGGATAAAATGCAGCCGTTTACAACATGACGTGCTGGACTTGTAAGTACAGGCAAACTTCTGTAATATCCACTAATTTTCCTTTGCAGGCTCGGAAAGAAGTATATTTCTGTACTTTGTTAACACACCCCATTTCTAAAAAATAAAACTTATTTTCCCGACTTCTCCCTCGTTGCCTTTATATTATTTTATTTTTGTTAATAATTGGGTAAATATCTGTACCTACGGCAGGTATTACTAAGACCGCCCTCATATATTTAGTTAACCCAACATAGGAAACGTCTAGAAGAAAACAAAAGTGTCATTTTTGGGTGCAACACTTCCGTCAATATGGCGTTTGTTTTCTGTCCGACACGCTGAATGCAAGCAAAGATGAACAATATTTGCGCATGTGTAGCAACAGGAAAACTCGTGTACCGTTTTTTTTTTTTTTATTATTTTGCAATTTTTTAAAGCTTTTTGTGGGAGGATTACGGTGTATATTAATAGCATTCATCATGGGATAAGATGATGTTCTTCTGCGCGATTAAGAAAACATTTTTTGGGTGTGGACACAAAAAGATATAGTTGGCATACATAGCTGGTAGTGTACGACTGATTCCCACATGGGAATAGATGACTCCTTTTATATTTTTTTTTTTTTATAAAAATATGAGATTATCTAACTTGCATATTCTCATTTATATTAGCATAATACCCGCCAAAAATTACGGGAATATTTACGTCTGGCTCAGCAACTTTCGACTCCCATCATATAGTATCAGTAGTGCAATCTGGGAAAAGTGACACACACACACACATATATATATATATATATATATATATATATATATATATATATATGAGCAAGTATTCATCCAAACAAGTTAGATTAAAAAGTACCGACAAGGCCTGTTTTTAATTTTTTTACTATTGTGGTCAAAGTTGTGGACAAATTGTCCGAAGTTCATATTATGTTATTTTTGTTCAAATAATGTTCAGTGGCTTTTTTAAAATTAATATTATGTAATAAATGCTCATTATCGACATTTTTCTCTGGTTTGGTTTAAATGAAGTTGATTTAAAATTTTGCGTGGCCATTTTTGGATGTTTTCTCACATCTTCTCTTGTTGAAAATCTGATACAAAATATAATGACTAAATCTGAAAATCACTTCAATAGAATCAATGTTTCATCTGTACAACCCTTGGCAAGAATTATGGAATTAGCACTCTTAGAGAATGTTCACCTTATTTTTTTAATTTAGCAGTAAATAAACTAATCACAGATAAGACACAAAACATTTTAATTTAATAGCTAAATATTCTGGTTTCATAAAATATAGCTTAATCTAAATTAAATTATTTAAATTAATGGTATAATTTTTTTTCCAAGCCATGTAGAAGAAAATATGGAATGACCCAATATTAAGGTAAAATTATGGAATTCATCTGCAAAATAATTAAAATACTTTCTTGTCCCTCCTTAAGTTTTTATGACTGTCTTAATTCTTTTAGAATTTAAAGCAATATTCTTTATAAAAATGGTTCCAAGTTTGAAGTGTGAAGTGGTCGAAAACATGTTTACACAGTTATTTTGAGAGGTGTTTTGCATCTTCCCCGATCGTCCATAATGCCTGCTATAAAAATATGATAACTGGGCATGTCAAATAGCTTCAACAAGAAAATAACATACGAAATATTTATTTATAAGCTGGCAGTTATAAATTTACAAGAATCTTTACCGGGTTTTCTATAGTTGTAGGTTATATTTAGTAAATAACAACTTTACTGCTGTAGTAGAAAGAGTGAGTACAAGAAAGGGCAATATTGAAACACCGGTTCTCGTACGATCACAGAAGTTAAGAAACGTCAAGCCTGGTTAGTATCTAGATGGGTGATAGTTTAGGAATACCAGCTACTGTGACCTTGGATGTGCAGGTGCTGTAACGGATAAGGACTCGGAATTCTTAATCGGTTGCCGGATTCCAATTCTTGTTAATAATAATAATAATAATAATAATAATAATAATAGAATAATTAAACGAAGGTTGGTAATGAACAATAATACTAAGGACAAGAACAACATATATAGGATTCGCCAGCGGTGCATAGAAGTAGTCAACTGTTAGAAGTGAGTCAAGTAAATTCCACAATGAATCTCCAAATGCAGGATATCTACCAACCACCTCACGCGATCAGATGTGGCACAAGGCCGAATTTAATGTGGTGTATTCGAGCCTGTAGACTCGGCTAAAAATTCCCCATAGATCCCGTATAAAACGGGATCGGATAGCTGTTTCCCGAGACGAAACTCTGCCCTTCGACAGAGCCTCGTCTGTGGATCCTCACTGCTCGGAGGCAGAGATCTTGACCAGCACAACTGGAGACAAATCTCCAACTGTATGATATCTACTAACCATCCCACGCAGTCAGATGTGGAACAAGGCCGAATTTAATGTAGAGTATCCGAGCCCGTAGGCTCGGTCAAAAATTCCCCGTAGACCACGTATAAAACGGAGTCGAGTATCTGTTTCCCGAGATGAGATTCTGCCCTTCGACATAGCCTCGTCTGGGGATCCTCTCTGCTCGAATGCAGAGAGTTTGACCAGCACAGCTGGAGACGAATTTCCAACTGCAGACCAACATATAGTATTTACTACTGTATTTATGCGAATGGGGACATACCCATTATCGTCCGTAGGTATGCTACAACAATTAGGTTTGTTCCTTGATCAGAGGAAAGTCTTAGGGAATCATGGTATTACAGTGAATAGGTGAAATTACTTCATAGGAGGGCTTACAGCCGCATCACATTGAAATGTCTGTTCCCGTACAATCACCCTGCAATGTCAACCTCGCTCAGTACCTAGATAATTGCCTGCCTGGGAATACCAGGTGCTGTAAGCTTGGATGTGCAGATGGTTTAATGAATAATGGCTTGGAATTAATCATTGAGGAACCAAGTTCCAATTCCTGTTGAATTTGTTATATTTACTTACATGCAAATACCCTTGGGAAAAGTATGAATCCATCTCATCTTTCCCCAGCCATGAGGTAATTAGTAAGTCTTGTATCACTAAAACCATTATTATCTCCAAAAAATAAAAATAAATTCTTAGAATCTAAAAATATTTTCAAGCTTTAAATAACCTGCAATGAGTTGATGAGCCGAATAAAACGAATTAATCAATAAAAAAAACAATGTGTTATTAGGGCACCTGCTGTAGAGCACTGTTTCTCAAAACAGTCTTTGGAATGAATTCAGACGTTACATAGACTCATGCTGTCCTGGCTTTTTGCCAAATTAGACTCAACTTATAAAATATTTATATTACGCTATTAAATATTTGTGGCGTTTGATCACGTCTACGATTAAGTATCTTGTAAAGAGGACGAAACTAACACTGACCCCCCCCCCCCCACTCCAACCGCCACCACCACACATATGCTGTCCGGAAACGATCGGTCAGAAGATGATTGACCGACGCGGGTTTTCTGATGATCGATCTTGCTATCAATCAAATCAGATTTACAAGTCTCCATTAAAGCCAGGGGACTTAAAACGACAGTACGTGGCTCAATTAGTTGAACTTCGAGCTTCGGCCCTCCAGGTAGCGTATTAAGACGTATCGAATTCTTTCATCTTTCTGCCGCAAATAAAATAAGTACCTGTAATGAGTGCTGAAATCGATCAAATTGATCAGGAAGTCTGACTGATTGTCTCCAGCCCGCTTCGCCCGGTGTACTTCCTCGAATGGTCAAAAGACAACGAACGAAATCGTGACTTTGTCTCTGTTCTCGACGTTGACTGTAACATAATTAATTTACACGTACGCCCACTTGTGTGCTGAAGCATATAACAAATTGGTATTTAGAAAATGCGTTTATTAACATATAAATGTGTATATAAAAGTATATTCATATTGGAAAAGATTCAATTAAGTCCTTGTGCGCGAGCAAACTCATAAACACACACGCATACATACATACACACACACATATATATATATATCTTCAAATATAAATAAAACGAAAAGAATAGAAATTCAAACGTTCATAACATTAATTAAAAAAAGGCTCAATAGCAGAAATAGAGCAATAAATATTTATTATAAACTCTTACATTGGAACATGCAGGTTACCACGACAAAAATGCATATTTGGTTCGAAGTCCAAAGACGTCTGGTCAGGTGGGTAACAATGATGGTAATAAACGATTTTATTTAAAAATACGATCACTTCTTTTTACATTTTTGAAAATTTTCCATAGAATGCAAAGAAATAAAAATATATATATAAAAAAAAAATTTATATTTCTGTTTCTTTACCTGGCATGTAATTAGCTGAATTTTGATCTGAAAATTTCTCTGTATAGACAGACAGATCGAAATGATTAATATTTATCACTGAATTAATTGCACTGAGAATTGGTGCTGAAAAATAAATATTTCTTCTTTTTTATGCAGAATTTCACCCAATACAAGATTGATTGATTCATTCGTTTTCTGCGACTTATCAAGCCTTTGCAGGTTATTTAAAGCCAGGAAAAAATAGATTATAAGAATTTTGGGCGAGGAGTGGAGATATAATAATAGTTTAGTGATACAAGTCTTACTAATTAACTTATAGATGGCAGGTAGAATAGGTGGATTCATGCCTTCCCCAAGAGTATTTGCGCATAAGTGAATATAACGTACCCAATTGGAATTCCGCTCTGCGATTAATAATTCTGATTCTATTACACCGTCGGCATATCAAAGATTAGATCACCTGGATTTCCAAGCAGTCACACATCTAGGTATTGACCAGGCTCGGCGTTGCTTAACTTCGGTGATCGTGCGGTAACCGGTGTTTCAACGTAATGTGACCGTAACCCCTCAGTACGAGGTTCGAGAGCCACACAAGCCCAAAGGTTAATGCTAACATGATTACGATGAATGAGGTGCGTGATATAAATGAAAGTATGGGGTTTTGCAATTAAGATTATGGGGAAATAAGGAGGTGAGTTTTGCAAAATAAATAACGTTTCCCATCATTAACCTACCGAATTATTGATGTTCCTAACTACGATTGGATGCTGAAAAGTTATCAACCAAGTCAAGAAATGATTCCTCCAAAAAAAAAAAAAATGAAAAGAAACAAAACAAAAAAGAAACTGACATGTTGTCATTTTGCTAGATTTTACGAAGAATCAAAAACCAAGAACTTTTCAGCACTTATATATATATATATATATATATATATATATATATATATATATATATATATATAACATTTGTGTATTTAGGCAGCAATCCTTCTTTCATGCACATTTCCTTGAATACGACAGACAAGGTGCTTTGATGTAGTTTATTTATACAATTTCTCATGCGATCTAATAATTTTCTTCTTTTCGATAAATTATATAAAAACTGTCCGAATGTTCTTTTTATCCGAGCGCTTTCGGCTATACATTTAGCTATTTTCAAGGATGAATTTATTTAACTGTTAAATAAGAAATAGTTTGTTGCGTGTATGTATTTATATGTTTTCATTTTTCAAAATACGGTCAAGATATTGTGTCCATGTTCATAGTTGATATTATTAAGTGTTGCTTGTTTTGTTTTTATTAATTGGGCTTCCATTATTTTTAGCCATTTTTGCATGTAGATGGTGCTATTATATTTGTGTTATCAAAAAGTATGTTACGAATATATGTAATTATTACTATAAACGTTATTCTTCGTGGGTAAACGTGTTTGAGTTGCTATACATTTTTTATTTATTTATGTCACTGTTTAAGATAAAAAACGGATACTCAAATACGCTTACCCACTAAAAATAATGTTTATAGTAATAAGAAATATATATATATATATATGTGTGTGTGTGTTATAACGATATATAATTTTGTATAATTTTATATATTAACAAAGAGTATTTAGAAAAATATGACAAACTGGAAAAGTTTATTTGTGACGCATTTCATCCATTTGGATTTCATCGGACTGGGCTTTGTTGACGTTGCCACGTCTGCACATGCGCACGAAACGAGAGACGCGGGTAGTTTTTAAATTTTTTGAAAGAATGTTTTTGAAAGTATTTTTTTTTCAGTCTAGCCAAATTCATCTGTATTCTTTTTCTTTTTCTCGTAAGTCACCTCAGATTTCCGAAAATGGTTAGTTCCATAGCGCCTGCCTCTTACAACAACTGAGCTACAACTACGCCCCTCCGCATGCTACACGCACCTCCACTGAGTCAGGAGAGTAAGGGGAGGGAGCAAAAAAAAACAAAAAAAACTGGGAATTACGAGTACTTTAATAATTTGTGGGTAACAAAAAACCCATGTAGGGTTAATGAAATTCTGTAAAGGATACTTCATTAGAACAGTTAAAACCTGACGCATTGATTCTTATTTAAGTTGCAAGACAAATAAACTTTAACGTCTTCCCCGCCAATTATTTGGGGAAACACGTTTTATTTTCAGGCGGATTTTTTTAATTTGTTTTTAATATATAATAGAGACTGAGGCACCTTGAAGTACCCGAGTAATACCTCTACCAGATGTATGAGTTGACAATTGGACACGTTTGATGCTCAGAAGGGCATAAAAAGAATCAAGATGAACGTATAAACACGTCTGAAGATGGATTTTGAACGTTATGTTGTGGACGTGTTTATTCGTCCGTGTCTGAAAAAGACACTTTCGTATATACACCTTTACACTAGGAAAGGGGTTAAGCGACTGGTTTCGATCATTAGAAAAAAAAAGAAAGAAGGATCAGTAATGGTCGGTAACGTTGAGATATTAAACGTCAGAAAGAAAAATAAATCGCTCTTGATAACATCGCATAGCCAAGCGATGTGTGAAGCAGTCAGATCCCAACGGCTGCAAAAGTTAAAATGGTGAACATTCAGTGAAATAAATATTTACATAAGCACAATCGAAGAGATTTATTTTTACGGTAAAGCCCATTCAGGTTTATCTTCATATCTACCACATGAACACTTTTATATACACAAATATATATTTGTTCATCTACAGATGCATTTGCACACACACGCATACACACATATGTACACACATTTATTTTACGTATTTACCTATCTTAGAGTTTATAACGTTTGTATGTGAGCATAAACGCACGTCTTCATAAAAGTATGCACAAACACAATTATATATTTATACACATACACACACACAAATATATATATATATATATATATATATATATATATATATATATATATATATATATATATATATTGTGTATATTTAGGCAGTAATTTTTCATTAATGCATGTTTCATTAAATAATATAGACAAGTTTTGTCTATTTATTTTAAGTAAGTTCCTTTCATATTATCTGATAAGCTTAATAACATTATCATTGACAAACGAAAGGAAATCACCATAGTGATACATGTTTAAATCCAATCTAAGCTTTCGGCTTACATAAGCCATTATCAAAAATGACAATTACTTTTCAATATATCAACCAATACACGGAAGAAACAATAATGATAATCTGTTTTTATTGCATGAAAATTTTCAAAGTAACGACTAACTCGTCCTCACTCTCGCGTGTTCATGTGTGACGTCACGAGCTGCTACGCGATTTTCGCTTCTGCGTCTCGTATACACTGTAACAATTTCCACAATCACTACAAGAATCCATCCTTCTCCACCCAGGCCAACATATACCACAATATCATATATCCGTAGAGATCGTACTAAAACAACCATGATGTGATTTTTTTCCAATATGGACGTATGTCTTCTTTTTTCTTTTCTTTTTTTTTTTTTCAATTTTCTTTTAAAAATAAATAATCTGTCATGAAATGAAACGGAGGATGAACCCAATAACAAAAATATAAAGAAAGGAAAACATTCAAACTAAAATAAAACTATTAATAAGACTCGTCCAACCTACAAAAGTAAGAGCGACCGGTGTATTCTAACGATTAGCAAAATCAATAAGCTCGCTCGCTAGAGGCGAGGGAGAGGCAAACTAAATATGGGAGAGTGAGTAACATCAAAGGCTGATCAAGTCAAGATATAAAGAGGATAAAAACAAACTAGTGAGATTGGGAATCCTGACAAGGACCATAACAAAAGAGAACGCCGGAACCAGGCTGGGAACGGCAGTCACTCACATGAACTTATGTGAACAAAAGAGTCTAGTTTAACCAAGGGAGGTGTCCGTCAGGAATCCGTTAAGTTGTGTCCTTAGGGGAATAGAAAAGGAAATCAAGATTGGACATTCACGTGAACTAGACTCTCAATTCGCCGACAAGATCCCAGAATCAGCGAACAATGGAAGAGGGTGCACCCGGTCATTTCTTCTAAACCACGATCACGCCGGTGACAATCGATCATTTCTGTCAAGCCGACTCTAAAACGCACGTCATTGGGAGATAGCGTGTTCCGGATCAATCGCCAGGTAAGCGAAAACTCAGGATTGCTGAGGTAATCCGCCACTGGCGCCCACAACTAGGAAGAGCACAACTCGGCCGTCGACAAGCCGAACTGTCCACAGAGTGGGTCCGATGCGATCCCCTCCATTAATCCCGGATACAATGTCCTCCTTGGTAGTGAAAGGTCACTGGACCGAGGAGTAACACACAAGACATGACGACACTCGGAGAGGAAAATCAGACTGATTCCGGGGTTTACGACGGCGCTCAATCCCGAAACAGTAAGGAGTGATAGTGAGGCTAGGGAAGGCGTCCTTAACACTCCTATATCACAATGATTTCCTCTGTCAACGCGGAGCGTAGGAAAACCAACCTCAATGCGTGTCAGAACCTCACAAATTGCCGCATTCCCTGTCCCCATGACACGGACGATGGACACAGGTAGCTCAACTTCCCCCGACCTAACAAGAGGGAAAAGAGCAATTGCTCGAGCACCTTCCACTGATCCTTGCAGAGAGAGCTTACAGACATTCGGTAAAGGACGAAGGGAAAGATTTACACAAAGCCCACCTCAGCCCTACTATTCAACGACAACCACCTTCGGAGCCAAGAACGGACTGCCGCTCCTTCTTTTACTTGTATCTCCAGCCAATTTTTTTTTAAGATGAAGATTCGGCCTGAACCACACTCTAAGAATGCGGACGGGACCGTCACTCCAACTTAAAGGCTACGGAAGAGCGATGTCCTTCCAAGGAACTAACCACAAGCCGGTAGTCTTGTTGCATTTAATCTTGGTCCCCGTAACCTTCTTGTACCGTTCAAGCGCCTTCTGTACCACCTCAATGTTGCTGTGGCACGAGACAAAAATGGATACCGAAACCGATTCCGCGTAGATCCGGACTTCACGCCCTATCCCTCACCCGGCGCAGGGGTGGCTCCAGAACCAAAGCGTAAAATAGGGGCGACGGCGAACATCTTTGACAAACCGACCGTGACAGCACAAAAGCCTGTAATACCGCATTGGGGAGCAATAGAGCCGCCTGGAACTGATGGCCGACCCCCGTCGAATGCCTTGGACTGATCTAAAAAGCGATCTAAGAAGCGCGGCTTTTTGATCATCTTCTACGCCGTCTATGGTCGTGTGGATCAGATTCAGGTTGCTATGAATTGTTTGGATCATAGCACAAGTGTGCCCTAGTCCCAAAAGAATCTCAACAACTGACTGCAAGCGCTCCGTCAGGATCTTGGCTAAAATCTTTAACTCTGTGTTTAGCAGAGTTATGGGTCTGTAATCGTCTAAATCCCACCCACCATGCATGCCCTTTTTTAACAGCTTGATCACACCCCTGAGAATCCGATGGGGGACGCACCCCTGCCAGTATCAATTGTTGAACACCACTGTCAAAATCGGAACAAACATGTGCGACAGCCTCAATACAGTTCGGAGGGCAGACCATCAAGTCATAGAGACTTGCC